CGCCGCAGCCGCAACCTCTTTGTCTCGGATCGCCCCGCGGCCCCCCGCCCCGCCTCCGCGCTCTCCCGGGGCCCGTCCTTGTCAATCAAGGCTGGAGCCAAACCCGGGCGCTGGAGTTTTCTGGGCTGCACTTGATCTCTGTCCCTGGAGAGCCAGTTACAAAGTGTGATTTCCTCCCCAGCGGCCCACCAGGACGCATCGGAGGGTAATGTAACTCCACTCCTGGTGCCTGACTTGCCTCCACCTCTCTAGGAAAAATCAGAGTTTCTGGAACGGCAGAGCACCGAAAAGAAAGTGGGGAGGAAGCCAGCGGGGGGTGAAGGGCGGGAATCGGGACGTTGTTTTTCCTTTCTGGCCAGAGCAGAGGTAAGTTCCTCCGAAAAGATATTGAGGACCCGAAAATTAAGACACATCTGCGTGCTCGCCTTCCAAAGGCTGGCACCGAGAAAGCCGTGTGCTAAAGTTAGTATCCAGCGGCTGGAGAGTGCCCTTGGTGGGGAAGTTGTCCCCACCAGGCCTTGGCTGATTTCAGCAAAACTATTAAAGGACTCCAAGCATAAGGACTTAGTTGTTCCTTGCACGTAGTTAGGCTACTTAGTCTGCAGGTGTCTTCTGATTAAAAGTAGGAGGAATGAATTACGGAGCATAAAATGGCTCATTTACCTAAAGCTGAACCGTCCTGAAGCCCAGTGAGGTAGGTCACTGCTTTTTACTTTAATTGAAATATCTGACGTGATATTTCACAAAATAATTATGACTCTAAAACAGATATTACATATTCTAAAAATAATTTTAGAGAAACCTTTATTTTGAGAACATCTGTTGTGTTTCACCAGCACAGAGGTCATTCAGCTAATGGACTCACACTGCCATCCAGACAAGGTAAAAAACATGTCCCTGTCCTAGAAGAGTTCACAGGCAGGAAGAGACACAGCCTGGTGTTTGAAAATCATGAGCCTTGAGAAGTGCACCAGAGGGACAGTTTGCAGATACCGCGGGTACGGTGAGTCAGGAGTAACTGAAAAGTATTAAAACTAAGCTCCTTTCACAATATATGTAAGTCAGATCATTATGCTATGTGCCTTCAACATGGACAGTTCTGCATGTCAATTACATCTCAATAAAACTGGGGGGGGGAACTAAGCCCTTGTTTTAACACGTGTGTGTGTGTGTGTGTGTGTCAGTGTCAGTGTCAGTGTCAGGGGGTTGCTTCTTTTCTCTTCAAGGCTTAAACATCAGTGGTCACAATTTTGTCCAATGGTGTCTAGAGACATTTTGGTAGTCACAACTGGGAAGGGGAGGTATCTCTGGGTAGAGGCCAGGGATGCTGCCAAACACTCAACATTACAGAGGACAGCCCTCTACAACAAAGAAGTAGGGACCCCAAACGTCAGCAGTTCTAAGACTGAGAAACAGTGGCTTAAAGAAACGTTCAATGGGTTACTTAATTTGACTCTCTTATGGTTATACCACATGAGAACAAATCCAAAGATGACATACAACTTTTCACTTATTCTATTAAATAATAAGCACATGGTAATTTTTTAAATTCATTCAGCTCCTTTGTCCAACATAATTAGGGTACCATTGCTCTTATGAAAACATTTGTCATTTGGAAGGTTCTGTTTTAGGCCTCAAACTCCTACATAGTAATTACAATGTATTCATAGGAGCCCCCCAAAGAAAACTGGATTAAGTTCCAAAAGTTTGTAAATGAGTTGCTTCTGAATCTTAGCCACTGTCTTGGATAAAATTCTTGCAAAGACTTTATATCCCCACTAGGTTGTGAGGGCTTTGTCCATTTTGACATCTGCTCCTTCCTCCTTGGCTTTCAGGGCCACCAAACCGTAACAGTCACATATGTGCAAGTTCTCATTACACATTGTTCTAAGGTTGGATACTTAAATTTTAAATATACTTCCAAATTAGGGTACACATTAAAATTTGAACCCTCTGAAATTTAGAAGACTGTGTACCCACAAATGCTTAAAGAGAGCATAATCTATATTTAATATTTAGAGTCCTAATCTATCAAAAGCAAAAAAAAGATGACACCTTTAGAAGAATGTAACACACCATCAGGGTCTTCTTTGAAGCCTCAAACTAGAGAGGAGCCCAACAGCCAAAATCAAAATGTGGACTGAGCCTGAGAAGACAGGTGATCAGAAGCTGAATTCCAAAGACTTGCTACCAAAACCCTGCATCTCCTCCTTAAAACCAGCCAGAGAACAGGCCAATTTAATGTGTCTTCATTGTGGTTATGTTAAACAGTTATCAGCAGTTTACTGTTTCAAGCTCCCCTTTTATAAGTAATTGTTAACAAAGTGAACAAGTCCATTGAGATTGAGGCAGGGGTTTTAATAATGGAGACGCTGACAGACTTTAAGGCAGCCATCTCTAATGTCAACCTCAACACTCGTCTTTCTCCCAAGCAGACCAATGAAGAGTGTGTTTGATCCTAGGAAACAAATGTTAACCAACCACATGAACTTACACTAATCAACATTAGTTAATTAATTAGAGATTTTGGGAGAACTGATATTAATCAGCCAACACAAAGTTAAATAATTGGTAGTTTAAGTTGAAGTGGAATCAGCTCATGTTTGGAACTGTTCTGAGCATCTGAGAACTAGCCCTTGGTGCACCTTTGTGGGTATTTTTCCCCCCATCTAGTAAAGTGCCAATCATAAAAATCTGTGTTTTTAATGAATATAAAGAAATTATTTATTTAATGATACCTTTCGGGGCCTGGAAGATGGTGACGGACAGGGGCTATATTCATTTCCTGGGGCAGCTCCAAGAGAGGACCACAAACTGGGTAGATTAAAACAACAGCAGTGTATTCCCTCATGGTTCTGAGGCCAGAAGTCCAAAACCTGTGTGTCAGCAGGGTTGATTCCTCCAGCGTCTCCAAGGGAGAAACTGTCCCAAGCTTCTTTCTCTCCTAGCTTCTGCAGACAGCTGATTGTCAGCAATTCTTGGTGTTCCTATCTCGTAGGCACATCACTCCAATGTCTGCCTCCTTGTCACATGGCCATCTCCTCTCTGTGCCCAAATCTCCCTCTTCTTTCTCTTACAAAGACATTTGTTGCCCTGGCCAGTGTGACACACACGGTTGGGCATCATCCTGTGTACCAAAAGGTCACAGTTCGATTCCAGGTCAGGGCACATGCCCCAGAGTGCAAGTTCAGGCTCAGGCCCCAGTAGAGAGCATGCAGGAGGCAGCCACTGGATGTTATACTCTCATATCTATGTTTCTCTCTCCCCCTCTCCCTTCCTCTCTCTCTAAAAGAAAAAATCAATAAAAATATTATTTTTTTAAAAGACCCTAGTTGCCCTGGCCAGGTCTCTCAGTTGGTTAGAGTGTATTTGAACTAAAGTTTTCATCAAATGCAATATATAAACATGGTAACTGCTATTAAGGAGTTTTATAATCAAGGAGCTTGATGATAACTATGTATGATACATAGTTATATATTTAAAAGTCAAAGGAAAAATTCTCACTTTGGCAGTATATATACTTAAAAAAAAAATAGAAAAGAAAATGTAAAACAATTATATAGGGAAATTCTCCTAATTATCAGTACAAATGACACTCACCTGAGCTTCCCCCAAATAATTTGGATTTTTACTTTAAACTCAAGAACTGGTAAATCTACCCATATTTTAAAAACAAAAACAAAAAACAGCAAAACCATTCTTTACCTTGTAGTACCCCTAAACATAGAAGGCCCTCATAGTGGGTTAAATAGTGTCCCCCCAAAATTCATGACCACCCTTATCTGGAAATACAGTCTTTACAGATGTAATTAGTTAAGGATCTTAAGATAAAATAATCCTGGATTTAGGGTGACCCTTAAATCCACTAACTTGTGTCTTTTTTTTTTTTAACTTTTTAAAAAATGTATTGATTTGAGAGAGAGAGAGAAAAACATTGATTTGTTGTTCCACTTATTGATGCATTTATTGGTTGGTTCTTGTATGTGCCCTGACTTAGGATCAAACCCTAAACCTTAGCCTATTAGGTGGATGCTCTAACCAACTGAGCTACCCAGCCAGGACTACCCTGTACTTTAGAATTATGTGAACTTTTCAAAAAGCTAGAATTTTGTGCTGGGGAGGGGATGGTTTTCTGTAATTTACTATCTTACCAGAGAACAGGGGAAATGGCCATGTAAAGTCACATCAAGAAGAGATATTGCTGAAGTACCCCACCAGGCCATGGGTGGGGAAGTGGGGAAGTGGGAGGGTGGAGGGTAGGGCATGGGTCCCCCCCAGCTGACTCCATAAGACTCAGATAGGTGGGTGCTGAGGGACCAGTCCCACTTCCAACGCCACCCACAACCTGTCCATCTACTTTAGGGCCATCAGCCCTGCCCAAAGTGAGGCCCTTAGGGAATGGGGGGGTGATCTCTCTGCCTCCATATTCAGCCCAGCACCTGGGTCCCTGCACCCGAGTGGTGGAAACCAGAGACCACCTGGATTGCTTACTCCTGGGCCCTAACTCAGATCTATTAAATAGGAACCTCTGAGGGCAGGACCCCAGTAATCTACACTTTAAACAACACACTCTACAGCTTTAATGAACTAACTTCAGAAGATGCACACTCCAACCTTCAGCCATCCCAGTTCCAGGAGATTTGCGGACCTTCAATGTAGAACTAGGATGAGGAAGAGCCAGGATGATGAAGGCCAGGATGACACACACTAGACCATCACTTGACCCGTATCAAGGTGCTTATCAGAATGGGCTGTGCTGGCTGCATGTAGAGAACTTGCTGTGCAACAAGAGTCCCCCGTCTCCTCAGGTAACCAGCACTTGAATAAACCTCTTTCCTTTTTCACCAGAAAAAAAGAGAAGAGATATTGCTGAGATTTACATGCAGATCTGATTCAGTGACCCCTGCCGGGGAAGAGTGTTCCCTAGGGAGGGCATGACTGGTGTGTGGAGATGAAATACCAAGGGAAGCAAGGAAAACAGGTCCCTTCAGAGAGAAAAATGCCTCTGTGAACATTGAGTCCCCTTTATGTCCCCTCCCCATTCATTTGCCCTGATTATACCTACTACTCCTATATTTCATTTGACATGAGACCTTCTCACAGAAGCCTTTCCTTACTGCCCAAGATTGAGTGAGGTGCCCTCCCATTCAGAGGTTTTAACATAATTATAGCATTTATAGTTCTGTATTATTATTGCCTGATTATTATTTTCTGATTGCCACACATAAGATTCTTGAAGATAGACATTGCATCTTATTTACTGATATAGGCATCAACACCAAGGAATCTGGCTTTATTAGGCAGTCAGCAAAGATCTGCTAGAAGGAAGAAAAACATTGGGGGTGTCCTGTAGGAACTGAAACAGAAAGAAGCTCCTGGCTTTCGACCTCATGCCAACAACGGTGTGAATAGACGGTGCCAGATAGGGAACCAGAACATCCTGATAGTGAAAGACCATTACTTGACATTTATACATTAAACATTGATGTTCCTGATTGTCTTTCAGATGCTAAATTAGGACTCTGAAAATAGCATTTCCAGCAATTGCATTACCTTGCTGCTGGCCAGCAAGCACTTTGGTTCAATCAGTTGAATTGTGCAATTACTAGGATATTGCCTGTTGTAATTATTCATCCAGAACTTCCTCTAAAACGTTCATTTCTTATGTCTCATGTCCCAACCACCACTTTCTTCCCTATCCAAGACCCTTGTTTCTGTCTCTTGGTCCCCCTTCTCTTCCAATCGATTACTTACCTTTCATCTCCACTTCTTTCTCTATTTAGCTTAAACCATGAACAGCCTCTCAGCCCCTTCTTTCAAAATGCAAATTTAACAGACAGTTAAGTTATAATCAGAAGATTGCTTGGTGAAGGGGACTTCGTTCCCAGGGGACGTTCATTCAAGCAGGACACAGCCACCAAGGTGACGAGCGTAGAAGCTCAGGAAATGGTGTGCTTCCACCTATCCGTTAGGATCCTGTTTTATTTGATATCTGCAACACTTGACACTACTGGGATCTCCCTCTTTAGCCTCCTAATCACCACTGGCCTCTCTCAGTTTCAATCCTGTGTAAACAGACATAAACAGGCCCCTCTCCTTCAACCATGAAACGCGGGGCTTCTCTTTGCTCTCTTGCCTCTCTGTACTTTTCCTGATTAACCTCATTTCTTCCCGTGGCTCCAGCCATCAAATCTCTAACTCTAGGCAACACCCCTCTGAACTCCAGCTCCACAAACTAACTGTCCACCGAGCAGTTCCACTTGGATGTTCCAGGTGCCAAATGAAATGTCCAAATTGTACTTAGTGTCCCCTCTGTAGCGACAGTCTGGTCCCTTGTGTTCCCGCTCTTAGGGACAGAGGCACCAAAGTCAGAATCTGGGAGTCATCCTTATCTCTGGCTTCCCATTGAGCCTCGCACACATGTCAACTTGTTCCTGGCCATCTTTAATTTGGTCTTTCTCTCCACACCCACTGCCACTACCTTAGTAGTATCATCCTCTCCCTCCAGAATTTCTCTGAAAGCCACCAAATAGTTCTTTCTGCTTCTAGTATTGCACACCTCACACTACTAACCTCATACCCCTGCATGTCCTCAGCTTGTAGAACCGAGTCTGGTTCAGAATACTGAATGAATGAAAGAGTGACTAAATGAATTCCTATCCTCCTGGAATTCGCTACATGAATGAAATACTGACTATATGAATGAGAATGGAATGAATGAATGAATGAATGAGTGAATGAATGAATTCCTACCCCCATGGAATTTACAGTCCAGCTAAGAGATCAGCATTAAACAGGTAAGTGCACTAGGTGAGTTCCCCAAGCAGCATTCCTGACTATCTCGGACTCACAGATGTACTGGCACTCTAACCCAGATGGGAGTTAAGTGCTGACTGGCTGGGACTGCATTTCACAGCACACCCAAGAGACTAGGAGAGGAAGGTAATTTACACAAATGAGGCCCAAGAGAACAAACACATCAGCTAATTTTCTTCTCTCTTTAAACGATACTCCCACTAATCTATATTGACGTGTAAGCTGCTATGATGATTTGGGCAGAAAGGAGTGAACTGGAATGATCTAGGGAAAGAATTGGGAGTGGTGGAACAGGTGGAATAAGGTTTGTTTATATGTGTTTGGTTTTTAAAACTTTTTCTTTAGAGATAATTATAGGTAAACGTGCAGTTGTAAGAAATAATACAGAGAGATCTCTTACCCTTCACCCAGCTTTCCCCACTGGTAACATCTTGCATAACTGTAAGACACATCCAGAAATTTGACTATAGAATCCAGTTACCTTAGTTTAACATGCATTCGTGTGTGTGTGTGTGTGTGTGTGTGTGTGTGTGTGTGTGAATGTGCCACAGTTAAACCATTCACCCATTAAAGAACATCTGGGCTGTTTCCAGATTAGGGCTATTAGGAATGAAGCTGCTATAAAAATTTGGGTAGGTATTTGTGTCAACATAAAATTTTATTTCTCCACAATAAATCTTAGTTTGGGCTGCTTTAACAAAATACCAGACTGGGTGGCTTAAACAAGTTTATTTCTAGCAATTCTGGGGGCTGGGAAGTCCAAGATCCAGCACCTGAATGGTCAGCCTCTGGTAGTGACCCTCTTCCTGGTTTATGGATGGCCATCCTCTTGCTGTGTCTTCTCATGGGATTCATGCCTCTTCTTATAGATGAATATATGAATGAAAACTGAATGAGTAAATCATGGGTCCAATTATGGGGGCTCCATCCTCATGATTTCATCTAAACCTAATTTTCTCCCCCAAATCCCCACCTCCAGATAACATCATATTGGGGATTAGGGCTTCCACATATGAATTTGAAGGGGACACAAGAATTCAGTCTATAACTTTCTGCTCCTCACCTCCCCAAATTTATGTCCTTCTGACATGCAAAATGCATTCATTCCATTCCAACAGCCCCAAAAGTCTTAACTCATTTAGCATCTACTCTAAAATCTAAATTCCAAAATCTCATAAAACTCGTCTAAATATCACCGAAATCCAATGTGGATGAGATTCAAGCTGCAATTCATACTGAGGCAAAATTCCTCTCCAGCTATGACCCTCTGAAACCAGGCATTTGCTTCCAAAACACAATGGTGAGATGGCACAGGACAGACATTCCTATTCCAAAAGGGAGAAATAGGAATGAAGAAAGGGGTGGCGGGTCCCAAGCAGATCCAAAACCTAGCAGGGCAAATTCCATGTATCTGAAGGCTCAAGAATGATCATCCTGCCCAGCCGGGCATGGCTCAATGGTTGAGCATCGACCTAGGATCCAGGAGATCGTGGTTTGATTCCCTGTCAGGGCACATGCCCAGGTTGCGGGCTGGGTCCCCAGTCGGGAGCATGCAGGAGGCCGATCAATGACTCTCTCATCATTGATGTTTCTATCTCTCTCTCCCTCTCCCTTCCTCTCTCTCAAATCAATAAAGACATATTTAAAAAAAAAAAAAAGATCATCCTTAGCTCTATGATCTGCCCTCCAAGACCACTGGAGTAACAAAAGATGCTACCCCATGCCTAGGTGGGCTCTCCATGAGGGCTTCACCTCCAGGGTTCTGCTGGGCGAGGGATCACCCCCATGACTTCCAATGGCACTGTCCCCACCATTGGAGGTTGTCCGGCCTGTTGAAACTAAGATGGTGCCTCTGACAATATCTCTGAATTGCTTTCCGGAGCCAGTCTTCCCTTTTCTTGAAGAATAGCTCAGATTCACAGCCCAATCGCTTTATCATCCTGTCCTATAGAATCTAAGAAGTCCAACCTCCTTCCTTTATTCTGTGCCATCTCTGTCCCCTTTGGGTCACACTAGTAGTGTCCCTGCTGGCGTGACTGATGAGGTCCGTGGCTCACACCCATATTAATGTCCTTGTCAAATGCTCGGTCAGCCCCACTCTTGCTATTCTCTTCTAAACAAGCTTTTTCAACTTTTTGCCACAAGGACAGGCTGAGAATTTCCCAAATCTCTACGTTCTAGTTACCTTTAGCTTTACAGTTTCTTCTTCATTTCTCCACCCTCACATTTTACTGTAAGCAGTCAGGAGGAGTGAAGCTGCTCCTGCAGGATTCTGCTTAACACTTTCCTCACCTAAATGTCCAATTTCATTGCTCACAAGATCCGCCTTCCACACATCGCTAGAGCACGGACACAGATCAGCCAAGATCTCAGCACTTAAGAGCAAGCACTACCTTTCCTCTGTTACCCGACACGTTCCTCATTCATGTCCGAGACCTCATGGAAACGCCTTCACCATCCACGTTTCTACCAACCCTCCCATGGGTACATGAGTACCCATATTCCCCGAGCAGATGGAGGCAGCCTCTACGGCTTTCCTCTTTCCTCTCTGAGCCCTCGCCAGAATTACCTTGAACAGTCCCTTCATGGCACTGTTGGATTTTTCTAGCATAAGCCAAAAAGTATTACCAGCCTCTACCCATTAACCAGTTCCAAAACCACTTCTGGACTTTTTCTGGTATTTGCTATAGTAGCACCCACTTCTCAGCACCATTTTTCTGTCTTAGGGTTCTCCAGAGAAACAGAGCTAATAGGAAATATATATATATTTACATATGATTTATTATGAGAAATGGGCTCTCAAGATTATGGAGGCTGAGAAGTCCCGTGATTTGTCATCTGCAAGCTGGAGATCCAGGAGAACTGGAGGTGTAGTTCCAGTCCAAGCCTGCAGGCCTGAGAACCAGAGCAACAGTGGTTAAGTCCCAGTCCAGAGTAAGGAGGAGATCATGTCCCAGCTCAAGCAATCGGGCAAAGATGAAATTCTACCTTC